TGTGGCAGCGCCTAGGGGTGACTGTTAGACTGGGGGGACACCTAGAAGCAGCACCCTGGGGACACCCAGCGTGTCCTGGGGACATCAAGGGGACAGAGTGGCCTCATGCGGACACCCACTGTGTCCCGGGGACCCCGATGGGACAGAGCGGCCTCATGGGGACACCCACCGCGTCCCGGGGACCCCAAGGGGACAGAGCAGCCTCCTGGGGAGGCCCATGGTGTCCTGGGGTCCTCAAGGGGACATAGCGGCACTCTGGGGACACCCACTGTGTCCTGGGGACCTCGAGGGGACAGAGAGGCCTCCCACAGAGTGGCCTCCTGGGGACACCCACCGTGTCCCAGGGACCCCAAGGGGACATAGTGGCACCCTGGGGACATCCACCGTGCCCTGGGGACCTCAAGGGAACATAGCAGCACCCTGGGGACACCCACTGTGTCCTGGGGACCTCGAGGGACCCCACAGCAGTGTCCTCGGGGAGCTTCTCACAGCATAGGCAGAGGAAGGGGACAAAAGGCAGCACCTCGGGGCACCCGTCAAACCGCAGGGACCCCGATGGGACCCAGGGGTGGCATCTGCCAGCACCCAGGGGACCCGCTGCACCATCCCAAGGGCACCCATGGGTGTGGGGACTCCAAAGGGACCCGCTGCAGCACCCCGGGAACGCGGAGCGGGAGCCTGGGGACCCATAAGTGCCACCTTGCAGCACCTTGGGGACATGGGCGGGATAGGAGGGGACACAGGGGCATCCCCGGGATGCCAAGAGGGGGGATCTTGGCACTGCCAAGCGCAGCCGGTAGCTCCGGGCACCCCTCACACCGCAGAAACAGGTGAGGAAGAGCAGGGGGTGACAGCCAACACCCCACAGAGACCCCTCACAAGCCAAATGTGGGTGACCTGGGGTCCAGCCACCCCCACAGGCGACCATCCCGTGTCCCCACTCGATGACAGGTTTCTCCAAGCTGGGATTTTTAGGGCAAACGTGGGCACAGGCAGCCCTGGAGAGCAGAGCAAACAAGGGGGAACCGGGTGGCCCCACGAGGCGTCCCGGGAGGGGGTCCCTGTCCCCAAAAAGGGTGTGACAAGCGGGGTGACATCCCCTCGGGGACTCACCAGCTTCTTGGAGAGCAGCAGCGCGGTGCTGTTGTCGCTCTCGAGGGCCCAGGAGGCGAAGCGGAGCACGTGCTCCTGGTGCCGCTGCAGCTTGGTCATGGCCCAGTGCTGCCGCTCCAGCTTCTCCTGCTGCCCCTCCGTCACCTTCTGCGGGAAGGGGACGAACGGGTGACAGGACGGCGGGGACGGAGCGGGACACGGTGGCTACCACCGCCGCGGGTGCACCGCCGCGGGTGACGGTCTCACCTGGGCGTCGCTCACCAACACCTTGCCGCGCTTGTTGAGCTCCTTCATGATCTGCAGGATGGCCATCTTGATGTCCACCTGTACCCGCTTCTGCACGTCCGTCACCTGGCGGATGCTGCCGGCCGGGATGAGCCCCGGGATGAGCCGGGAGCTTCCCGGCGGCGCGGAGACCCCCCTGCATTCCCGGGATACGTACGAGCTGCGCACTTCCTTGGTGGAACGCTGTAGGCTGGCGTGTTTGTCACCCAGGCGCTTCACCAGCGACGCCAACACCTTGCGCTGGGTCCTCACCGCGTCCTCCAGGAACTGGTACCTGCGGCGGGGGCGGGAAACGGGGTTGGGGACAGGCTCCAAAGGGACAACGCGGCCTCTTCGGCACCGATCCATGTGTCCCCCCAGGAAAAATGGCCCTTGGGGGGTCTGGGAACAGCCCGACGACAACCCAGTTCCCTTGGGGTGTTCTGGGAACAGCCCGGCGACAACCCAATCCCCTCGGGGGTCTTGGGAACAGCCCGGCGACAACCCAATCCCCTCGGGGGTCTTGGGAACAGCCCGGGGACAACCCAATCCCCTCGGGGGTCTTGGGAACAGCCCGGGGACAACCCAATCCCCTCGGGGGTCTTGGGAACAGCCCGGCGACAACCCAATTCCCTTGGGGACCCGGGAACAGCCCGGCGACAACCCAATTCCCTTGGGTGTCCTGGGAACAGCCCAGTGACAACCCAATTCCCTTGGGTGTCCTGGGAACAGCCCGGCGACAACCCAGTTCCCTCGGGGTGTTCTGGGAACAGCCCGGCGACAACCCAATCCCCTTGGGGGTCCTGGGAACAGCCCGGCGACAACCCAGTTCCCTCGGGGTGTTCTGGGAACAGTCCGGCGACAACCCAATCCCCTCGGGGGTCTTGGGAACAGCCCGGCGACAACCCAATCCCCTCGGGGGTCTTGGGAACAGCCCGGCGACAACCCAATCCCCTCGGGGGTCCTGGGAACAGCCTGACAGCAACCCAATTCCCTTGGGTATCCTGGGAACAGCCTGGCGACAACCCAATTCCCTTGTCGGGCTGTTCCCAGGACCCCCAACAACCCAGTTCCCTTGGGGGAACTTAACTCTAGTTAAGTTAACCTGATGCTTAGCCAACCTTTGCCATATAGTTAAGCCCCCCAAAACCCATTAAAGCCATCAAAAAAACCACCTATAAAACGCCATTAAAATAAAACCAAACTGGTTAAAAACCTGGGAAAATTAGTCAGCTGGTCAAGCTAAGAAAACCCACAAGTCACCTATTAAATATTCATTTAACTTAAATCCGCTATCTAGCTTAATTAAGTTTCACGTATACTAAAACTATATACTATTTTTTTTACTATATATACACACACACTACTTTATATACTACATATATACTATTTTTAAGGTCTGCTTAATCAAATGGCTTGAAAACCATATGATTAACTAATCACTTCACTAACTAGATAACACAAACTTCACTTAATAAGTAAAAGTGGCCATAATTAATAAGTTAAATTACCTATCAAAACAAATATCAAATTAAGCAAAGAACTAAACAGATAGCTACACTAACCAGGCAGTATTTTAATGTAAAATGATTTAACAGATAAAATTTTATGCTTATCTTCTAAAATAACTAATTGGCTTGAAAACTAATCAGATTACTTAGCCATTAACAGTCAAGTTAATCTGATTATTTAATGAACTGGTAAACGACTGGTTAGATTTTTAATGGATAACTCATTGGAATCAAGCAGATAGAAGACTAAATTCCAATTTAATAAACTGGTAACCAACTGGTTAAATTTTTAATGGATAACTATAGTCAAGCAGATTGAAAACTCAATTCCAATGTATTTTTAGTGGCTGATTAGTTATCCAATTTCTTAGCTCTTCCTTAAAAACCAGTTTATAAACTGGTTAAAACCAATTTATTCAGAATCAATTAAAAGCATTTTAATGATAAATTAGGGAATGGGTGAGAATTAAGGTTTAATTGATGAGTGTGATCAGTTATTGGATGTGAGATGAAGAGAGGGAGTTTGGTAATAGAGTGATTTGGGTGGGAAAAGTGATGTCAGCCGCGCTTAATTGCGGTGTTAATTGGCAAGGGGGTGTCCCCACTCACTGGTGGTCCTTGTGGGCGCTGAGCTGGCAGTCGCGGCACGTGAGGGTGTCACACGTGTCACAGAAGAGCACGAGGGGCTCCTGCTTGTGCAGGGCGCAGTGCAGGGCGC